CCACCAGTCAGAGAAGAACAGACACAGAGGAGGGAAACAGAGACACAGAAAGAGGTACGGTAAAAGAAAAAAGTCAATAAGCAGGGTTTGTACATTTTATTATCAGCTGAGCTGTGATGAAAAGAAAAATACCATCAAATACCGTGAAACCGGTGAAAATGTTGAAAATACCGTGACATAAAATTTTGATCATATCGCCCAGCTCTATAAGTGTTTTTTCTTTATAATCATTTTGTGTGAGAAGCCACCAGTGAGCACTCAGAAGAAGGTGAGATGGGAAAGATTGAACAAGTTCTTGATCCAGATTTTCTAAACGTTTTTATATCATTGTGAAATCAAAATTTAAACCTTAACTTTTCAACAATAAATATAATGTTTAAATTAGAGATCCCACCTGAAGACAGAAAAGCAGCAGCAAGCATCTTACCTGCTTGTTTGGAGTCATTGGGTTTGATGCAGCGGACGTATGACGGCTCCTTAGACATGAGGATCTCCATGAGTTTGGCCAGGCTGGCTTTGAACTGGGTGGCTGCCTGGAGGGACAGGCACAGATAATAAAAAATAACAAAAAACCAGTCAGGTAGAAGAGTAAGAGGATGGGAGATAGACAGCCAGTCCGTGAGTGGAAGAGAGACTCAGAGGAGTGGAGAAAACAATGTGAGGAGGAGGAAGAGGAGGAGGAAGGCTGCAGACTGAGCCTGAGAAGAGCTGTGTGAGCACAGAGCTGAACACTGGGCTCCGTGTGGAGGAGAGGGGCGTCACCAGCCTGCCACAGCATCTCTGTGTGTGTGTGTGTGGGGTGGGGGGGCATTCCTCAGAGAACCCCCGTCACAAAGCAGAACAAACACACAGCTGTGCTGTCGCGCTGTGGGAACTCAGAGGGTGGGAGAACCTCAGGTATCTCACCGTGTCGGGACGTTTCTTGTCACTCAGCTCCTCCCGGTCGAAACACTGCGTGAGGATCTTGTTCTCAGACGTACACATGACCTGCAGACCCAAAGAAAACACACCTCAGCATCACCTCAGCTCAGAGAGAGAGAGACAGCTTTAACATGTTATTAAACCTAATCTGACCTCTTTTAGGTTCCTGAAGAGAAGGTCGTTGTTCTTGTCCAAAAACCCTGAGAGACACAACAAGCTGTTTCATTAAGAAGCTCATAAATAACCTGATACTCAAACAACGCCTTGAAAAGTTGATGTTTGTCATGTTACAAGTTATTTCTGCACTGGTAATGAAGACGATGGAACACACCAGACAGGCCAGGGATAAAGTTGTAACAAGGTCAAAACAGTATCCCAAACTTTGAGCATCTCATGGAGCTCTATTTAATCTGTCATCCAGTGTTGCTTAAAGTACCACAAAGTGATGCTTGAGTAAAAGTACAAGTATCTGACCAGAAAATGACTTTGGTAAAAGCTAAAGTTTCCTTTAGGAATATAAAAGTCTTAAAGTAACAAATTTCTACTTCTTGTCTTTTTAAAAAATGTAAGGAGTAGAAAGTACAGATAATTGTGTGAAAATGTAAGGAGTAGAAATAAAAAGTGTGCTGAAAAATAATTACTCAAGTAAAGTACAGCACATTTAACGGTTCGATACGGGTACATGTATTGTTGCACCCCTAATACATACGTATATACACACACACACACACACACACACACAC